ATTTGAATCGACTAAGAAATTTAAATTTTTAGGCGAAAGAAATATGACAAGTCGGGTAGGTTTCGAGTTGGTCCCAAACCCACAGGTAAAAATGTTTTGAAGAATAGGCCCGAGTTTATACTGAGTCTGAGTTCAGCACGAAACCATAGTTAACGGGCCAAATCCTGCCCAACGATCACTTATGAGTCCATTAATTTGGACTTCTTTGGGACATTGGACCTCATAACTAAAGGTTAAAATTTAGTTTTGAGTTTGGACACTCACATTAATTTTCGGAACATACACATTTTTTTTTTGGTAGAGAGAGAGACTAACGCCAAGTAGCGTTAGGGACAAATGTTCCGTAAATAAGAAACACATCTAACGTCGTGCTCTAGCCACGGAATGACATCGGATAGTGGAGCTGAAAGAAGATGAAGACCGAGAGAACTTGAGGATGCCTTAGACGCCACATAATCCGCTACAAAATTCGCCTGGCAAAAAATATGCAAAATCTTAACCTGCCAGTCCCGATTGAGTAGTTCCCTTATGCCTAAAACCAAGCTCGAATGAACACCAATTATATCTTCTGTGTTATTTGCAAAACCCACAATGTTGGCATTGTCGCCTTCTGCTCCAACCTGACGGTATCACATATCCCAAGCCATACTAAGACCATGAAATAACCCCCATAAATCCCTCTGGTTGATAGAGCACAACCCAATATTTATTGTGATACAACCTAACCATCTACCATAGGTATCTCGAATCAACCCACCAACAGAAGAACAAGAACCACATTTTGCCGGAAAATGTGGTCGTAATTGTTGGGGTTTAAAATATTGTCAGTCGACCAATTTTCTATTGTAACATGTTGATCAAAATAAGTTTACAGCGATTTATATGTTTTTCTATTAAAGATAAATGTTCAGGCCATTAACTTATACGAATTATCGAACTACATAGGCTTAATTTCAGCTTGCTTGCAATTTTTAATGCATATTAGACATGTATTAGTACATAAAGTTATGGATGACTCTACAAGCGTGTCATCCGATGACTTCACAGAATTTCTGTTAATTCGTATAAATATCAATCATCCATTACCTAGAACACGAAATGTAACTATAAATAAAACGTGAAATATAATTACATCTATAGTACATCTGAATCTTATATGTTTGTTATACATAGCCAAGTATGCTAAAATATCCATGTGGGTTTTATATTTTATAAAGTACAATTAATCAATTATAATAAAATTGTTAGTATAAGAACTTTCCAAACCAACCTAAAAGAAAGGTTGTAAGACAAAATACATTATAGGATGATTAGTGGTAGGTGCTTGAAATCCCTAGCCCTATATTTTCCATTGATTTTGACCAAACCCAATTAATTGACCGGATAATGTTATAAAAAAAAATAAAAAAAATAGAAGAATATATTTTAAAAATAAATAAATAAATAAAAAATTATGGCATGGACTTGTACATTGATGCATTATCTCTAAAGAAACACAGTGCCCACATGGTGGGATTTGAATAGCATTGAGCCCCACCTCCCTCAAAAGCTATTCTTATCATTTTTCTCGAATATTTTTAATTAAATGTCAATTTAATTAATCAAGCATTAAAAAACATTATCCCTAATTATTAAATTTTTATTGTTCATGTGAGTCCAAGATTGTGATGATGGAACAAATCCTACACAATATTATTGATGTTTGTTTGCTAAGCATATTTTTTAAGTAAGGTTTGACGATGAATCATAGGTTGAATTGTAAAAACTTTAGTATAAGAGCACATTTGTTAAGGTGGACGAGACAAGATAATTTTTATCATGTCTACTAAGATTGTACTGTAGAGATATGATACATACTTAATATGTTGTGTATGATTGACACAAAATAAGATTATGTGGATACAGTGTGTTATACATTTGTTACCTTAGACAAACGGTAGGATAACTAATGCATTTACTAATTTGCCCTTTAAAAGTAACATTTTTTTTTTCCTCTGAAAAAAAAAACATCCTCTTCACAACTTTTACACGCAACTACACAAGAAGTAGAATTTTGTATTTTTGTTTATTAATCGTTTCCCTTTCTTCCTAGATTCACCATCTATTTACCTTTATTTTCTTTCCAAATCCAATCAAACCAAACCCCACAAATCTGCTCTCATTCAACTCTTCGATTATGAATGCCAACGGGTAAAATGTTGCGACCCACTATAATTTCTCAAAAGTCTCAAATATAAAAAAAATTCTCAAAATTTCACTCGAAATCCCAAATACCTCCTAAAAATTTTTATAGGATTCCTTAAAAATGTGAAAATTTTAAAAAATTTCAAATCTAAAAAAGTTGTAAAATAAAAAATGTCGCTCAATACCCAAACAAATACACCTCCCAAGACCTAACATGATTTTTCTTAAATTTAAAAATCTTAGAAAATCTCAAATTACAAAACGTAGCTTGAAATCTCAAACGAATACACTTTCTTAGAAATCATATGTTATGGATAGTTGTGTATTCATTTGAAACTTCTAAAGACTTTAGAAACTCTGTGTATTTAACTTAGATTTTTTAGACCTTAAAAAGTCTTAAAGTGCTCATTTGAGATTTTAAAAAGTCTTACTTGTATTTAACTTATTTGAATCTAGGATCTGTTAAAGCTTTTTAAATTTTTTTGGGATTTTTAAAAAAGAAATTTACAAAATTTCACGCCAAATCTCAACTCAAGGTTAAGATTTAACATAATTCTCCAAAATTTAAAAATTTTAAAAAATCTTAAATCTAAAAAATTTCAAAACGTCGCTCGAAATCCAAAACTAACGAGTTATTCCGACTTATTATTCTCTACTCGTCGGTTGGAATCCAGCATAGGCCCAATAGTAAAACTGGGCCAACCAGGTGGGCTTGATTCTATTTTATTTATTTCTTTTGTAAATAAGGGCCCAGTAATGAAATCATCCATCATTGACATTGGTTATTACATTTATAAACCGCTGTTATTACAATAATTTTTTAATTTTTTTTACCATGT